TTTCTGTGCAAAAACTTTTTAGTTTGATGAAGTCCCATTTTATATATATGTATATGTGTATTACTGATTATGCTATTACAGTTGTCCCACTTTTTTCTCCCCTTTATTCCCCTCCACTCTGCACCCCCTCTTCCACCAGCATTACCCATCTCCCCAGCCGCTTAGTTCATGTCCATGGATCATACATATAAGTTCTTTGGCTTCTCCATCTCCTCTACTTTTCTTAACTTCCACCTGTCTATTTTGTACCCATTATTTATGCTTCTTATTCCCTGTACCTTTTCCCCCATTATCCCCCTTCCTTCTCCCCTCTGATCTCCATTTCTGGGATTCTGTTCCTGTTCTAGTTGTTTGTTTTTGTTTTTGTTTCTTTTTGGATTCAGTTGTCGATAGTTGGGAGATTGTTGTCATTTCACTGTTCTTAGTTTTTGATCTTTTCTTATTTTTCTTAGTTAAGCCCCTTTAACATTTCCTATAATAAGGGCTTGATGATGATGAACTACTTTAACTTTACCTTATTTGGGAAGCAGTTTTTCTGCCCTTCAATTCTAAATGATATCTTTGCTGGATAGAGTAATCTTGGATTTAGGTCCTTGGCTTTCATGATTTTGAATGGTTCTTTCCAGCCCTTCCTTGCCTGTAGAGTTTCCTTTGAGAAATCAGATGATAGTCTTATGAACTCCTTTGTAGGTAACTGTCTCCTTTTCTCTTCCTGTTTTTAAGATTCTCTCCTTAATTCTCAGATATCCCACACAGCAATGTTTTCTCCAATATGTCTCCTAGAGCAAGGGACATAAAGGAAAGAATAAACAAATTGGACTTCATCAAAATAAGAAGCTTCTGCATGGCTAAAGAAAACATCAGCAAAATGAAAATGGAGCCAACCGTATGGGAAAATATATTTGCCAATGATACTTCAGACAGGGTTTTGATCTCCAAAATATATAAAGAACTCACACGTCTCCACTCCAGGAAAACAAACAATCCAACTGAAAAATGAGCAAAGGACTTGAACGGACAATTCTCTAAGGAAGACATACAAAGGGCCCAGACACATATGAAAGGATGCTCATCATCACTAGTCACCAGATAAATACAAATTAAAACCACAATGAGATATCACTTCACACCAGTTAGAATGGCCATCATAAATAAATCAACAAATAATGGGTGCTGGCGAGGTTGTGGAGAAAAGGGAACCCTAGTACACTGTTGGTGGGAATGCAGATTGGTGCAGCCACTGTGGAAAACAGTGTGGAATTTCCTCAAAAAGCTAAAAATGGAACTGCCTTTTGACCCAGTGATTCCCCTGCTGGGACTATACCCTAAGAATCCCAAAACACCAATTCAAAAGAACCTATGAACCCCAATGTTCATAGCAGTGTTATTTACAATAGTCAAGTGCTAGAAGCAACCTAAGTGCCCATCAGTAAATGAGTGGATCAAAAACTATAGTACATTTACACAATGGAGTACTACACAGCAGAAAGAAAGAAAAAGCTACTACCCTTCACGATCACATGGATGGAACTGGAGAGCATTATGCTAAGTGAAATAAGCCAGGCAGTGAAAGACAAATACCATATGATCTCACTTATAAGTGGAACCTAACCAGCAAAGCAAGCAGGCAAGGAGAATATGGCTAGCAACATTGAAAGAAAGAAGAAACTGACAAGGACAGGAGGGAGGGAGGGAGGGAGGGAGGGAGGGAGGGAGGGAGGGAGGGAGGGAGGAGGGGAAAGGGAAAGGGAAGGGTCAGATCAAGGAACAGGTGTGAAGGACAAGGTGGGGAAGGATTGAGGTGGGGAGGTGAGGGTGGGTGGGGCAAGGGAGAGTGGTGACAGGTAAATGGAGACAAATGCATTAGAACAATTAAAAAAAAAGATTCTCTCCTTATCTTTAATCTTGGGTAATGCAATTATGATGTGCCTCAGTGTGTGCTTCCTTGGGTCCAACTTCTTTGGGACTCTCTGAGCTTCCTGGACTTCCTGGAAGTCTATTTTTTTCACCAGATTGGGGAAGTTGTCCTTCATTATTTTTTCAAATAAGTTTTCAATTCTTGCTCTTCTTCTTCTCCTCCTGGCACCCCTATGACTCAGATGTTGGAACATTTAAAGTTGTCCCATGGGTTCCTAAGCTTCTCCTCGTTTTTTCGAATTCTTGTTTCTTCATTCTGTTCTGGTTGAGTGTTTATTTCTTTCTTCTGTTCCAAATCATTGATTTGAGTCCCAGTTTTCTTCCCTTTACAGTTGGTCCCCTATACATTTTTTCTTTATTTCACTTTGCGTAACCTTCACTTTTTCCTCTATTTTGCAACCATACTCAACCATTTCTGTGAGCATCCCAATTACCAGATTTTTGAACTGTGCATATGATAGGTTGGCTCTCTTTTCATCACTTAGTTCTATTTTTGGAGCTTTGATCTGTTCTTTCATTTGGGCCATATTTCTTTGTCTCAGCAAACCTGTTATGTTGGAAGCAGCAGAGCCTTGGGTATTCACCAGGGCGCAGCAACCCAGGTCACTGCATTGTAACACTGTATGTGGGGGATAGGTCCGCAAGGGAACAGTGCTGTTTCCTCAGCTTTCAGTCACTTCCGCTGCTATCCAAAAGCAAATTGAGCCCTTCTAGTGATGATCCCCAATCAGTGGGTTTCCATACATTCTAGGACCCTGTGAGTCTCTCCAATGAACTCTCCTGTGAGGCTGGGAGTTTCTCCCACTGCCGCATCCCCCACAGGATTTTACAGCACAAGTTCTGAGGCTTTCTTTTCCTGCACTGGAAACTTGGATTGCGTGGTCTGACTCACTCCCCAGCTGTGAGACCACCAGGTCTGCCAGCCACTGACTTGCCATGCATTCTCTCTGCACTAGCTGCCTGTCTCTGCCCCTCCTACCAGTCCGGATGACTATTTCTTCTTCAACTCCTCAGCTGTCAGTCTTCCTACAGTTTAATTTTCTGGCAGTTCTGGTTATTTTTTGTTTTTCAATTTGTTGTTGTCCTTTTGGTTGTGCCAGGAGGTAAAATGTGTCTACCTACACCTCCATCTTGGCCGGAAGTTCAGGTTTATGTCTTTTTTAAATCCTCTTATTATTATATTGTTATGATATAATGAAGGACAAAGGTAATAGTTTGTGTTCAACCTGCTATCTTCAACTAAAAGCCCCCGTGATTTTTAAAGAAATTCAGAATTGATATTTGCCACATGCTTCAAGTCCATTTGCCTAATTACAATAAATTGAGTAAATATTCACAAGCTTTTGTGACCTGCAGGAAAATGAACAATCTGGTCTAATTTAATCTATTCTGTAGCTGGTAAATGAGCTGACAATACAAGGACAGAATGATAAAAGGGTAAGAAAATGTTTTGTATTTGTTCTGAAGTGATTTTTTTAGAACCAGTTCTCTTCTTGACAGCCCCATCATCTATAGTTTAGGTCTGCAAATAGGAAACTTAATAAGGCAAAATTAGCAACAGAAAATACATAAATGTCCATATCACAAATGGAAGAATGTGTTAATGAAAAGAGACTGGACTCATTATTCATTTATGGTTCTATTTAAGTCATATCTTTCATGTTACTTGAATCCAGAAAGCCTCCTCTGGTTTAACTTTGCCTGATTGTTCTTTATAGATTGACACAGCAGTCAGGGAGAAGAAAGGCACCAAAGGTTGCCTTGTCCCTCGATCCCTTTTTCTTGTTGTCTTTGGTTCAGTGTGGTGCCTGCCATTGGTCCAGCTGAGTGTTGACATTTGCTTTGTTTGTTTTCACTTACCTCCCCAAGTGCAAAGGCAGCCAGACATGTCCTGTGGCCATGGGGTAGTTGACACTTTCCTAGGGAGGCAGGAATAAGTTGTGAGTGATATCCCAGGAAGCACCTCTGATGTAGCATTGCGGACTCTCCTGTTTCTTTGTGAGGGTCTGCCAACATGGACCTACTCTGCAAAGCAAAGAAAGCATGCTAGATATTCCTGAAAAGGAGATTTTGAAGACCATAACAAGGAGAAATGACTCTTCTTTCAGAATAAGGATCTTACTCTGGCATCCCTGGCTCCCTACCCTCCCCCACACTCTCCTCTGTGCAATGCCCATCCCTGGCCCTTTTGCCTTCCTTTTTCATGCCCAGAGGCCTCCTTCCCTACAGGAAGTCTGGACACAGCTGCCAAGGCTGCCTTAGCCTCCAGCAATACGCTTATCAGCATAGGCTCAGCAGAGCTATCATATCTATAAAGAGACACCTTCTAACTGCCTAAGAACAACATTTTCTCCAAATCAGTATGCAAATTGAGCTTTAAAAAAATCTGATTAAACCAGGGTCAAGTGCCAACTAGGCCAAACATATGACAGAGATGAGAAAAGAGGGCCAGGATGGGAATGCCAGTTTGGCTTGCGCATGCCCCGGCTGAAGGGTGGCTCTGGGCCTTCATTCCATACAGGAGCATGAGTTGTGGTAGCCATTAGGGTGTTGACAAGGATACAGGATAAGATTGCTTATCCCATCCCCTTATGGGATGTTAGGGATGCTTAGGCTGACCCATTCCCAGGAGACATGGGACTCCTCTGACACATCACTGTGCACCAAAGGTCCCCCTTGGTATTCTTGAACCTTCTTCAAGCTGCCCTTGGTCTTCCTGAACCTTTCAGACTCCATCCATCCTCCTCTCTCTCCTTTACAGGGTCAGAGCCAAATCACATGGGGAGACACTCCCAGCTTACCCGACTCCTTCCCCATTTTCTCTCATGGCCTTCTCCCACTAATAAAACTATTGCAGATTTAATCCCATCTTGGCCACTGTTTCTCAGAAGGTCCAGACTAACATGCCTCAAAATTTCAATAAATTCATATTGACTGGCAGATTGACTGGTCCAGGACAGGAGACAGAAATACTAGGCTGTGTTTCAGGTTCATCACTGGCTGAAGCCACCAGGAGCTATGTTTTCTCCTTTTACACAGTCAGATGTCCTACCTCTTACTGTCTTTTCCCCCTTTTCCTTCAGGTTGTAGCTCTTTCCTCCTGGTGTCTGCTGAGGGATTCGATTTACTACACGCTGTCTGTGGTCGCACTCATCGTGGTAAGTGTGTGATGGATACCTCACCTGAGTTCCCTCATATTGAACTCCCAATCATCCTTCCCACCACTCGGCGTTAGGCGTGTGCAGCTCCTCTGCATGGAGCAGGTTCAAGGTGCCTGGTGATAAATGAGTGACGTGATGTCTACTCATAGAGGCAGTCTTTCTTTCTTCCAGCTACTTTGATCACTCATCACCCCAGCCTAATGGCTTGGTGCTCAGAATAGGAGTGTTAACTGCTTATCTGGTTCCATCAGAGCCCCTGCTGTTGTTCTGTGATCCCACTGACCACCTCTCACTTTCCTCATAGGACTGTGACTCCCCTCATCATCAGTATCCCTGGATTTGGACTTCTCCCTCTCACTCTGTTTGCTCTCCCAGAACAGCCGTGTCCTTCCTATAGCACCCATTGTCATTGCCACATTTGTACAGACACCCTCACGCTCTGTTCTTAGCACTGAGGTCCAGTCATGGTTTAACAACTCTCTACTAAACATCTTCATGTCCCAAACTCAACATGTCTCTTAACTTAGGACAATTCTCCAAAACTAGCTCTCTTTCTATATTTCAACCCCCATTCCTATCCTGCCACCCAATCTGGGAATGATTAAACTGATCTTTCCTCCAACTGCCACTATATCCATTTGGCTTAACTGTCCTGTGGATGTTTATCTCACAAAAATCTCCACAGTGTGTCCCTCTTTAGCCATTTTAGTTGAAGCTTTTTACATCTCTGGTCTGAACTGTCACAGCTCATCCCAGGTCAATGTTGCAATGAATAGTATCACTGACACTGCCCCTCCCCTATCCCTCCCTACCCCCCAACTCCAGTCAGTGCTCAGAGTGCTCCAAGTAGTGTCTCTACAGAGAACACCTGGTAAACAGCAGTCTCTTGTTTAAACAGTTAGTGGCTCTAGGTCACCTATGGGGACTAACCAAACCCCTTAGCTTGGCAACCAAGCTATCCAGGAGAAGGGCAGCAAATCGGAAAGAACTGAAATGAGAAATGAGATTTGGGAGATCTGACCTCTAATTCTGCTGCACCCCATCCCAGCCCCCACCTAATGAGCTCTAGTGGCCACAGAGAAATCAGTCTCTCCAGGTCTTAGTTTTCTTGCCTACAGGTCACAGCAAAGATCTTGGGTTAAAGCAACAACCCCTTCATTCCAGGGCCATTGATAATTGGGAGGGTGAGAACCACCCCAAGGAGTGGAGGGTTCAGAGACCTCATGTTGGACCTGAGGATGCTATTTAGCTCCTGGGTAGTAAACTTAAGGACACATTTGACTCTGAGTTCTTATTCTCAACTATTACCTGTGGAAAAGATATGATCACCCCAAATCTAGAAGGCTCCGTTCACGGAACTGAGATCTCTCAAACACTGCAGCATTGTCAGCAGTACACTGTGCTCTTCCACCTGTAGGGTATTTTAAGATAATTTCTGAAAGTTAGTTTTTTAGAGAGACATGGTTAGGGGTTAGGGTCATGAATGCAGCTCTCTACTTTTGCTGAACTCCAGAAACAGATGATCATTCTCAGAAAAACAAGGTGATGAGACAGCACAGCCCCGGCCAGCACGGTCCAGAGCACAGATGTGGCAATGTCCACTCCCAGTAGCAGGTTTGCCAGTGTCAGCTTCCTTCTCAGTTTTCAGCATAGACACCTCCTGGTCTGTGTGGGAAATAACTTGTCTTGTGTGAAATTCATCTGGACACGTCCAAGATGAAACAGCTGTACTTGTTGCTAATGACATGTGAGAAAGAGAAGCGGGTTTGCGTCTTCAGGCTGCAGGTGCCACTCGCCCAAGCAGAGCCTTTGGGCAAAGCCATCTTCTAGCCCCACCTGCACGGGCAAATCTCAGAGCTGAGCAGACTGAACACTCAGGGAGCCAGCAGCTCTGTGTTTCCCTCAGATGGCAGCACTGCAATTCTTTGCAGTTACTTGAAGGTGACCTGTGTTTAAAGATCAGATGTCAAAGCTAGATTTTGTGATTTTGAGAAAAATCACATTTTTCCACTGTTATGAAGTAATGGAAAAGGTAAAGTTTGGGTTCTTGGGGCTTGGTTCTTTTTACTTTAATTGGTGTTCCTCCAACTTCAGTATGCACTGGAAATGCCCTGAAAGCTTATTTAAAATGCATAACCAGAGATTTTAATTCAGTAGATTCTAGGATAGAACCCAGGGATTTGCATTTTACTCAGGATCTCCACCTCTTTCCATAATTCTGTTGCCCACAGCACCATACTACACTTTGAGAAACTGAACTTCAAATACTGTTGGGCACCATTTCCTCTGGGTAGCCCTCTGATGCATGACAGAGATCATTTCTAGAATAAATTTTGAGGTTCTCAAAAGCAAGACATAGTGGCAGCTTGGTTGTCTGAATTTCTGACAGCTGTTCATTCATGGGGCCATTTTCACATGAAACTTAAAACCAGCATGAAGAGTAAAATGGTCTTCTACCCAGAAGACTCAGCACTTAGTGTCTCTTTACAATAGAGTTTTCTCAGTGCTCCCAAATCTGTTCCATGCCCCAGGACTAAGCTGCATCTTTTTGTTTAGATTTCCTATTCCCCTTTTCCTATGTTCCCCTAATGTCGTGGTAACAAAATCACTTTCCTTCTCGTCTTCCTTATATAATACTAAGCTTCTCTACAGGACCATGTAATAGGCATTTAAAATTCCTGTATTTAAAAGCCTTTCCTTCTATCCACAAATAATTATCAAACATCTGAACAATTTATTTTAACTATTAGGGTTGTTTGTTTGTTTTTTTACCCTCTTCCCCTTTTTGTGATTCTGAAATGTTCAGAAGACTGAACTGCCAATCCCCTGAGGTGATAAAATGAAGAGCTCATTCACCCAGAGGAAAAGTCTGGACTAAATGAGACCAGATGCCACTTTTATATACACCCCTGGGAGCCGTCCTTCAGACTCAGCAGAGGAGCCAGGAGGACAATCCACAGGGCCTGAGGATCCAAAAAATAAGGAAAGATAACTTCTCCAGAGAGGCTCATGACCACTGGGGCAGGGGAGTGCTAATATTAGAGTCATTATTACCTGAATTCTGAAACAGCTAAATTGTAAGTTTATGCAGAATGGACCTGGCCAAAAAGGAAAACCACTAGAGCAAAACAACTGTGTACATTCTGAAACCAACAAGAGCTTAACAGTTAACTTAGAGGCAAGGGACTCAGTTCACTTTGGTCTTTGGGTTTCACCCACCCTTTGCTCTGTGCTATTTTCTATGTGTTTGTTTTCATTTGTAGGGAGGAAGCAGAAGAAATTAAGAATATATTATTATCTAAAGCAGCCATAATTTCATGAATGTACAGTGTGTGTGTCTCAGAGCCTTTCCCCAGCCCCATCAAGTATCCTCTTTACCCTGGTAATATTTTCTGCAGTGAAGCCTCAGGCTCTGGAAAAGCAGGATGTGGCAGGGATGTGGCCCCATGACCTCTACAAGTGTCACCTTTTTAGACCTGGGAGCATTCTGGGCTCTTTGGAAGTTGCCCGTGTGTGCATCTACCCAATAGTGTCCAAATCCTTACAGTCCCTCCTGCTGCTTCTCTCCCTCCCCCAGTAGTTACCTCCAATAACTTCCACCACAGACAGCTCCAGCCTCCCAGTCCTATCCTTGCTCAAAATTCCAGGAAGCCCCACAGTCTCTTTTATTGAAATGTTACTGTAATTTACATAATCGTGTAATTTGCATAAATGCAAATGATTCATTAGATCCTCAGTCTAACAGCTACCCTAAAATGAACACTTTATTTTTACCCTTCATTTCTATTTGAGATTGGGGATGTGAGCCTCAAGCGAAGGGAAACCTCCTATGGCGCAGATAGGCCTGAGGGTCTGGGGTAACAGATTGGCTCACAGACCCAGTTTCAGGAGTGTTGTCCACCTAGAGAGGGTCTTTGGGAGGCCCCCAGGGCACCCTGAGCACTAGCACAGCAGTGAGGCTCATTGGAGGTGACACTGCCCCCTCTGTCTCTCTGGAGGACCCATTGCATTCTTCCCTCTGGAGGGGATTCTATGGGAACAAAGAGAGAGGACTCAAGTGATCCAGCTTCCAGACATGGCCTAGGCAGCACTGTGCAGTACAGCAGCCACTGGGCACATGTGGGAACTTAGTTCTCAAAATGCAGCTAGTGAGACCATGAGACTAAAATTTTGATTTAATTAATTTAAATTTGTATAGCCACATGTGGCTAGTGCCTATCATATTAGATAGCACAGTTATAGAGAGCAAATTCATCCACATAAAATAGACCTACATTCTCACAGCATCTATAGGTTTTAATAAGCATAGCCTCAATACTTAATACAGGGCTGAGTGTTATGTGGAACCTGTCAATGATTTTCCAGTTCAGTACTCATGGCTATACAAGCTAGCTATTGCAGGAGCCCAATTTTACCAATGGCAAAACTGAGGCTCCAGAAATTCAGGGATTTGCCAAAGGTCAGGTTTTCCAGAGCAGGTATCTAAGATGATACATCTACACCACCCTGGCAAAGAATTCGGATTTTCCCTCCAATAAAATCTGCCTCTTTCTGTTTTTGAAATCATCCTGATTTTACCTCATCTACCATGCAATATCCACCATTAGAGAGGACTATCTGCTGCACTTAACTCTACATTTAGGCTGATGGGAAGAGCTTCCACCACCCTTCTCCTGGAAATCTTTCCTAATATTAAATAACCCAGAAATCTTCTTATCTTGCCCTTTCTTTGAAAGAAAAGACATCTTAGAGTCATGTTGGTGACTGTCCTTAACCCCCCCGCTGGTGTCCATGTCTCTGCCTCTCTGGCTCATCACCCTCTTACTCTCGTGAAGCCCCACCACCATCAAGTCTGCCTGCTAAGACATCCTAATGTTGCAACTCCTGTTTAACTTCAAGTGTAAACCATATTGGTGTGGAGCAGCAACTGTCCAGTATATCCCATCTGATTTCTCCCCAGATGGAATCACCATGGATTAAGCTATCTGCGCTTCTGGTCGCCGAAGCTGAGGAACTCAGGACTCCATTTGGGCACATCTGAGGGAATCTACACATAGTCGAGTAGGAGTTGGTGGGGAGTTGGTGTCCATTTTCAGCAAGGGAGGGGAGATTGCCAAGGTTTCAGTCTCCTGAAAGAAAATGATGGCATTGATTTTCTATCATTTCCACTGCTTACAATTCTAGCAGTGCCAGTGATTATAATATAAGGTAAGAAATCTTAGCTTCAGTAATGTGGCCAGTTCCATGACTACAGCTTACAGTAAGCAATCCCAGGGATTGACATGCATTGCAGAGACAGCTACTTGCCTTCCTGCACAGAGCCCAGCTGGCCTCTCCACTCCTGCCCACATACCCGGGCGAATCCAGTCTCATCTTCTCCCCACTATTCCATCTTAAATGTGCCACTCCCTTAGCAGACCCCTGGGTTGTTCTGACATCCACAGATCCACCTGCCGATGTCAGCCTATCTCTCTTGGAAGGATTCTAGAACAGACACCAGGACTGAAAAGCTGGTTTCCATGGTACCCAGTCCTTTCTCTGAAGCTTGAAGGAAGAGAGTGTTTCTTCAAATTCACTCCTTTGTGTTCCCATTTAGTTCATCTGTGGAATACATGCAAAGCTCCAGGCAAAGCCAAAAGTAGCTTTGGATGAACCACTGGTCAGTCAAAGAGCAGGTCCTTTGACCAACCATGTGCAGCAAAGCTGGGACTCCCCTTCCCCCGCGCCCCCGCCATATCAGTTGGCACTACCCACATGTGGTCACTGGAGGGTAGGCTCAGTTCCAGACTCCCAAACTCAACCAGCAGAACAAAAAGGACTTCTTTCCCAAGGCTGGTTTCCAAAAATCCAACTGGGAAAATTGTGGTTCAGTTCTGAAGGAAACCCAGCAGGTCCCTCAACTTCAACACATCCTGGGGATTGAGTGTTGGCATAAGCTGAGGGAACCACCTGTCCCCAAGTTAGAACCAGGCAGGAGCTGCCTCCAGAACCTCCCCTTGCCCTGTGACAGCAGTGGGTTAGCTAAAGGCTCCTTCGGGAGGCTGTCTGTCTTAAAGTGTTTGCCCTCCTTCCGCAAGATTTAATGGAACTGCAAAATGCAGTTGGACTGACTTCATTTCAACCTTGCTGCCTTAGCAGAAAGACAGACCTGAGAGCTGTGACATGCGCGCCATCTAGTGGTTACTCGGTGGAACTGGGGCAAGGTTTCTTGTTTCAGGCAGGATTTAAAAATGATTTCGTGTGGTCTCTTACCCCAGTAATACGGCTGCAAGGGACGTGGAAAGTTGTTTTGTCTTATTTTACTCACAGGTAGAGCATGAAGGTACAAAAGGACATTCAATAGTTGTCTTAAAAGAATTAAATAAAGTAAAAATCTCTAAGGAATAACAAATCCATTCCTTCTAACCATCAGCAACATCGAGTCTCCTGTCCATGTCATTCTAAGATTTTCAGACAGGCTGATTACAACACTTCCTAAGGATATACTCCCCTGAAGAAACGTCCTGTGAATAGTGCCAATTTCCTTATTTGCAGTCTTCCAAGGGACAATCAACAGGTCAGCCTCCTCTAACCAACGCCACTGGATGCTCAGAGGCAGCTCATAACATGCTCTCCACCTCCTGTCTCACCATGAACAAGCTGACTTCCACTTAGAAAAGGCCTGGTTTCTGGTCCCTTTTATCCATTTTATTGTTCTTTTGTAGGCCCCTCAGTTTTGTTTTGTTTTTTTTACTAAGTCCTCTTAAAGTAATGGGATAAAATCTAGATTATATTTGCTTATTAGCCACAGGGTAGCTAAGGCCTCCTGGCTCTGAGTGGTCAGGGGTAAGACATCACTGTATCAGTCATTTGAAGCTTTCTAGATCATCAATATTTGTTAGTGCTCTGGTGAGAACTTCTGCATTTCTCTTTCTCTATCCACCTCCTTGAACCATATTCCAACCCTGAACTGTCCCAGCCATAGGTATCACCTGTACTTCAGACCACAGCATTCTGTCCTTAATTGTGTATCTTGTCCAGTGTTGTTCAAATTTGCCCCACTATTGCTCTGATTTATTGTGCTCCCTGTAAATTCTATTCTCAGTTTGGGGTCCTTTGTACAATTAAGCCCATTCAGATTTTTCTTTTATTTATATGATTATTAAAATAATAGCTAAAGAGGTATTGACCTGTGCCCCCACATGTCAGATCCCACATAGTAACGGCTTTCTAAAAGCCACTTTCATATTATAGAGTATCACCTGCCTTCCCTGACAGGCAAAAATTAAATTGGTGTTCTAATAAACTCTTTACCAGCCTCTTGTGCTCTCTTAAGGGGCTATGAATTGATTTTTTCAGCCCACTGCCCAAGATTAATATTAAATTAACTTCAATTAATAGGAAGCATTTTCCAACTTAAATTACTTGTTCTGTTCCATGATTTCTTGACAAAAAAAAAAAAATCTCTTCAGGCTAGTGATTATACAAAAGCGGCTATGAATGCCTTCCAGGGAGTGAATTCCATACCATCCAGCCTGGGTCATGAAATTGCTTCTTTCATTTCCTTAATCCTCTTCCCATTCGAGTTTAACATTTTCATCCAAATGTCAGTTTATTGACTCTGATAACAACAAGAGTCACTAGCCTGATAAAGCCAACATCTTTTTCCATATCTCTAAGCAAGTTACAAATAAGTGTACTCCTTTCTCCTCATCCCTCCATCAACACCTTCGGGATCCTTGGAGGGAGGTCTTTTTAGTGCCCCTACCCTATGTGTTGCATGTCTTTGTGTTTCTTTCCCCTGTATCTCTCACAACTGATGGTTATTATCATCTCTGGGACTGAAGCCATGCCCACATCATTAGCTGAGTTTATCGTCTCCTTGTAGTAATGATGCTTTACACCCAGGCTGTCCTGCAAATTTCTACTTTAGAGTTCCCATTGGGCCACTGCCCCTAAACGAAAAACCCCTCAGACATGATCATACTCAAGGCAGTCATATCAGCGAATGTAAAAAGAAAGCTGTGACCAGCCCTCAGCTCCTGCTTGAATCAAATACAGGTGCACCCATTTAGTTTCAACAATGAGCTGTCTGGGCAAAGAAGTCATGTAGCAAACTCTATGATAAAAGCCAGGTCTGAATTCTAGAACTAACCCTGCAGCAAATTTAGCAACCCCAAGAAAATTTTCCATGTTCTCTGTGGCTGTTTTCCTGTATAAATCAAAAAACGTGAATTATACCAATTTGTTTGCCCAAAACTGAGAAATGATTTTAGATGATATATGGATGAGGGTTTAAATAAATTCAATCCTGTTGTGTATTCGCTTTGGATCTTAACTGATCAGGAGAAGTCTCCTTTTGATACTTGTGTGTCTTACACTGCTCGACCCTTGCTAACCTCCTTCTTTATAGATAGGCAGGCCTGTGGCCCAGGGCCTGGACAGCCCAGATTCTCAATCACTGTTGTTACTGCATTTATTTTTTTACCCTCTACATGGGGTGGAAACTGGTACTGATCTTCCACTTCTGGTTGTGATGTAAAATTTCCTTTGAAAATAAATTCTTTTAAGGAAACAAAATATAGGTCTACTGAAAGAAAAATATTTAATACAAAGAAGTCCAAATTCTTGCATAAAAGCTTGAGGGTGCTATACAGTGCATAGAGCCATGCACACATTTTACAGGTGGCCCATAATGTCTAATGTGTGGAAGCACCCACCAAGCTCCTACATCCCTGCCAGACTTAAAATTCTACAATGCGTCTTGCTCTACATCACAGCTGGTCATGATCTGCTGTTGGACAGAAATTGCAGGAAGGATGGGATGATCTAATGCTTCTCCCTTCCACATCATTGTTCACCCCATCTGCCAACAACACCTCCTTCCACAAATACCAGCCACAGACTAAACCAGCACATGGGGAAGCTTACCCACAGGGGCTTCATGTTCCAGCTCTCATTCTCATCAAGCTAGCGATGAGGGCAGACAGTCGTAAAGCATGCATGTTTGTACATACTTGCACACGTGTGTCTAATCTATACTTTTTTTTTTCACAGTTCATTTATGATGAACAAGTTTCCTGGTAAGTACCTCTGTTTCCCTTCCAATATTCCATGCTATGTTGCACAGCCAAACATATCAAAGACCAGAGTCAGTGTTTAAAAAACAAAGGGAAATGTCATGGCAGTTTGGAATAACTAGCATTTCTGGGGAACCTCTGTCCACTTCAATAAAAAAGAAAAATTGAATTAGCTGCACAGAGCAGAGATCTTTCCCCTTAGACTAGGGTGATGGACTTCCATTCAGGATCCTGATATCTAGATGTGTTTGTCATCCAGGTTAGATGGTGTGACATAGCTGTGCTTTTCTGCAGTCAGCCATTTTCTAGACCATGGTTAAGATTTGACTCATCTTTCAAATTGTGTCCACACCCTGTTGAAATATTCCAAATACCATGACTATCAATACCACATATACCTTAGGAACCATAGATGGAGGCACTTCAGTGAACTTCAACTCATTAAAGTTCTGCCTGACATTCCAGAAGATCTTAGAGCTCTGAGAAGTCAGTGATTTTTTTTTTATCAGATACATTTAAAAAGTTGCCCAAATTAAACATATGGGAACATTTGCATTTAGGCCAACTCTGCAAATCCCCATTTTTAAGATGAGTTCTGAGTAAGTCAAATATATTTGAAATGGAAATTGAAATTAGGTGTTCTGTGAATTCTTACTACATTTAAAAAATATTTGATCTGTAGAGGTAGAATAATGTGAAATAACATCTAAGGAATACATAGGTATGGTGCTGTATTATTTAAAACTCAAAAATGAACTAGAAAGGAAGTACAGGGTCCACCAGTCTTCATTCTCGGCAAAATAATTGCTAATGCTTTGTTAGGGTGGCATCTCTGTGTCTTCAGATATGTCTATGACTTTCAGAATATGGAGGTGGGAGAGAATTTACCACATTAATGGTAAATGCTATACACTGTGCCAGGAAAAAGTATTAAGATACTTTTTCTTGTCTGACCAGGAAGGGTGAGGAGGAGGCAGATGGGAAAACTTGCGTTAAGATACATCATCTCTATATTGACCCATTAAAAATAAGGAGGTCCTCCTGGAGTAACAGTGATCAACAGGTTGAAAGGGATCAAGACATCCAGGAGCACAGCAGGTCAGAGGTCAGGGAGGACCTTCATGTGGGACGTGGTCACAAGATGGAGTGGAGACTTCTTCCCCATGTCCCTAAGTGTGGCACAAGAAAACGGGCAGAAGCATGGCTTTAGCTGATGGCATGGTCAGCACAGCCACCGCTCTGCCTTGGCAAACAGCAGGTGTTTACATGTTGCTCCGTGTTGCTGCCGTGATAAAGACAAACAAATTATGATCACAGTCGATCTCAGAAATTTTCTACTGCTTTGTGTGAAACACCTTAAGCAAGGATATTGCTTGTCTTGTGGAGTTCCCTTGTCTATGTCTCCCTGGCCCTGCTGATGGAAACCATGGAGGGGAGATGAAAGCAGCGTTCATGATAAGCTCTTTTCAGTCCTTGCCTTCAAATCTCCTTTAGGATATTTTAGGTGGTATGGAACAAGAAAGGAATGGTCTATTTCCTCTTCATTCCCAGTGCTGAACCCTCTGTGATGTCAGGCGACCCCCATCCTTGGGTAGAACCCCGAGCTGTAGTGAAGGGCCCAGGTTCTGAAGTCATTGGGGCCCTCAACCTGAACAGCAAGGCTGCCATACATTGAATCATGAGAAAGGCAGTAAGAGGGCCATGGATAAATGAGTTGCAAATTCCTCAGTGTGTTTTGTTCAGCCTGGGTGGGTTTGACTCATCACTCATGGATAGGCATAGCTGCAGGAAGAAACTAGGGGGACGCTTCATGGCACCAGCATGTTATTTCCAGATGCCAACCTGTTATGTAATTGTTGTTGTTATACGGATGGGCTGATGAAAAACATTTTTTTATGTGAGTAAGGCTGAGAAATTAAAGTCTGCATCACCAGCCCATAACTGCTTTGGGACTTTCAAGGATTTCAGCTTCTCGTTTGAACACAAACTATATTGAACTTTAAGATATTTTTCACTGTCCATATCTCATACCTTTTTACCTAACCACCACAAGCATTTACTTTGCTGAAAGGGTGTGTCTAGGAGGTGATTTCTCCTTTAAAGCCAGATTCCCAATTTGTGCAATTAAAGCACAGTAATAGTTCAATAATACTGTAAACAGCAAATTCCATTCCTTGTTGTAGAATCTTCCAGTCTGTCTAGAGATTTTGAGGAAGGCAACCAAACTACCCCAAATTTTTTAAAGGAAACTAATTTAATTTGTGATTAACTGGAGACCAGAGTACTCTTTAGTAGGAAATGAGCCTAGTCAAATACAAACAGACAAGGACAAGGTACTTCTGTCATACACAGTTTAGATTCCTTCACTATTCCTGAAGTGGCATTCTCCAGTAATGCCACCTGGCCAAGAACTGGTACTCAGAAGGCATTTTTAGTAGCAGGTAGTAGGAAAAACCAGCCACAGTAGATTAAAGAAATACTGGCTTACTTATCTTACATAACAAGTACCCAAGATATAAGTGGTACAATGGCTATGCTTTTCTCTTGCCTTTTCCTAATAGTCCCAACGTGGCTGCTATAGTTGCAGCCATCAAGTTTGGATTGAAGGTAAAAAAGAGGAAGAATGTGCTATGTCATTTTATTTAACACCTTTCTACCTTGCATCTCTTTGGTCACAGCCAGCTCTGTCTTGACCAATAAGTGGCCAGGAGAAAAAGAATTATAATTTTAGACAAATCATTATTTATCCTGAGAATGGGTCCACCCTCCTTGAGATTGAAGTGTCCCCATTTGCTGCCTCAACATAGTGGGGTTTAATTTGCAGGCAAAAGGCAAGGGAATATCTGTTGCATGCTTTTCAATTATGTACCTGCCACAAAAGGCAGTTAAAATAGAAAACATCCACCTACTGGGATATAGGTTCAGAGCAAAGACCACAAGTCCATAATGACAGCTCAGCAAAGCCCACAGTGTTGTCAGAAGGAATCTGGACTGTGTCTTCAGTGAGTCTGAAGGTCTAATAAGAAAACTAAAGGATCCAGGGTGATGTTTTCATTTCTTCTTTGAGCCTCAAGTTGTGACTTTGGGAGAGAAAAAAGAGCCTGGGGACACAGCCTGGAGACTCTCCACCTGCTCATGTCAAGACCAGCTTTTGCTGTTTGGGACCATAGTTTGGAAAGTGGAGCCATGACCCTCAGGCAAGAACAGGGACTAGCCCTCCAACGTAGGAAAGAACCATCTGTGGTGGAAAATCAGGGCCAGTTGAAGGTGGTTCAAAACAGAAATTTGCGGGAAGGGAAGAAATAAAACCCAGATCATACTACATGACCAGGTCCTCAGAAGACAGTGGGTGGGCTGTGGTCAGGAGAGGCAGATGGAAAAGAGCATCCTGAGGGTGGTGCGGGGGGCAAGGAGGAGATCCGTGTGATTTTACAGGTCTGCATGCAGAGTCAGGCCAAGTCCACAGCTGTTTCCTAAGCACCTCTTGATGCCAGGCTCTGTTCCAGAACTAGACATAGAACACAGAACCAAACTCAACCCTCATCTTGGAGCTCTCTGGGCTAGAGGGGAAGAAGACATGTAACTAAGAGGTCATTTGGAGACACTCACACATTGGGAGGAGGGGACTGGGGTAGAGACCCTGAAGAGCCTTGAGCCAAGACCTGATCATCAAACACTCAATCAGGTCAAAAAGCAGAGGAAACAGGAGATGAAGAAACAAAAAGGCCTCACAGAGTCTGGTGCATTTTGTGTAGAGGGAGATTTGGGTGAGCCCCAAGTCTGGGCACCAACAAAGCAAACCTGAAATGTCAACAGAATCAGGAAACCTACCCTCTCACCCCCATAAGTGGCATCCCTGAACCATGACAGAAGAGAACCTTACTGGAATATTGCAATGAAAGAGCTCACTTTGAGTGAAAAGTCAAAAAGATCTAAAAGAACTGGAGAGTATTAATACAACTATTTAGAAAGTGCTGGACTTGATTCAACCTACAAATATTTCATTAACATTGGTTCATTTTCTGGTGACCCCCCTCACGGAGTCTATTAAAGTGCATCTAAGCAATTACATGACATCCTTTCAGATGTTGGGTATCTCTTCCTTCAAAATGAATGCCATGAATAAAACCTCACTTTTCCCAAGTAAGTTGATTGCCACATCTACATTGGTTTCAATAAGATAAGAACCATGTTCAGGCCACTGGAAATGTTTTGCAACTGAAAATTGTTGTTTGGAAGCAGTCTTACCCTGCACAGGTGAGCTGATGCGGAGGAGGAGGTATCTGCTTTGGGGGAGATCAGCTGTCACCTGTTTTAAGTGTCTGAAAACTAGAAACCAGATAGCTGAGGTAGAGGTTAGGTGTGAGGAGTGGTGTCAAGTGATTGCTAGAAAGAGGTATTAGATATTAGTAAGTCATGAATAAATAAACAGGAGGATTAGTCTAGTCAGGGGTGTAAAGAGCATAAACAAAGTCTTGTGATAGAAAGGGAAGGAGAGGTAGGCAGGGGAGACTTCTTGGAGGAGGCAACATTTAAGCTGACATTTGTAGAATAAAAAGGACAAGTCAAGGAGTGAAGGGAAAGCATTTCTGGCAGAGGGAACAGTAATGGAAAGATCCTGCCATGAAGGAAAAAGTTTGAAATATGCTAGTGAAGGGAGGCCAGTATGGTGAAGTAAGATAGGGCACGAGATAATTTGGAGAAGAAAATAGAACCAGGATTTGAACCTTCTTTTTTTTCTCAAGTATTTGGGGAAGCAATTGAAGAGTTTTAAGAAGAAGAATGACATAATTCAGTAGCATCAAGGAAACCAGCTCAGAGGCTGAAGTTAAAGTGGACTAGGGAGGTAACAGTAGAGAAGGCAGAAGCCAGCAATTCAGGAAACATTTTTATCAGAGTTCTGATGTACATGGGTGAGGGTAAAGGAAGGCTCCATACTGATTTCCAGATTTGGGCCATGACTGGACAGGGAGCAGTACAATGTCCTGAGAAGGCAGAGCTCACGGAAAATGAAGCTAGGAAGTAGGAATTAAGAATTCAATCTGACATGGTTTAGACACCATGTAGAGAGGCCAGATACACAGCTGGATACATGAACACAGAGATAGGCAGAGGTGTGGAACAGATGTGTCAACTGGCCTTTACAACAATAGAACAAGATGACATCACCTAGGTGGAGTGTGCAGGTAAAAAGAGAAGAAAGTCCCCATATTTAGAGGCTGAACTGAGGAAACTGGGAAGGCAAAGGGAACAGGGAAGAAGTTAGGGGGAGGGGAGGAAAACTAAGAGTGTGTCCTCATGGAAGTTAGAAGAGAGTGTTTTTTGAAGGAGGGCAAATCCTCAAATGCTACAGAGAAGTTGAACATGATGACAGAGAACTGGACTTGGATTTGTGTAGATGGAAGGAGCAGATGCCCTTGCCAAGAGTTTCACGGGATTGACAGATGTAGAATATAGACCAGAGAAACTTGCCAAGAGAGTGTTAAGTTCTGGAATGGAGTGTATGCAACCCTTTGAGAAGCTTTGCTAAGAGAGAAGCCAAGAAAAAGAGCAGGAGTTCAAAGGATCTGGACAACCTGATTTCTTCTTTTGGTAGGACCACAGGCACTTTCCATAGTAAATACATATGCGTTTGTATAATCATTCTTAACTGATGCATAGTAGACCATTATATGGACATACTTAACATACATGTATAACCATTTTTGCTTCCTTTCCATAACCATTTTGCTTCTTTCCAGCACTCCATTTTTATAGTCACCACTGCCACAAAAAACCTTGTATATAAATCCTTTTTATATTTGACCACATATTTTCCTAAGATCAATTTCTAGACATAGAACCTTAAAAGAAAAAAAAAAGAAGGAAAGGCATAACCTACAATTTCTTCATAGACCCTTCTCTAGTAACCTTTTCTAGAAGCCAAAATTACACCTTCATTTCATGGATATTTAATTCTACAACTAAAAGGGAACTTGGAAATCAAGTTTTCTAGTTGGAAGTTACTAAAATAAAGAAAATAGAAGTATTCAAATTATCAGAATTTCAAAATACACTTCAGTGGGTTTTATTATTTTATTCTTTCTTTCTCTTGACCATTTTTACACTCATTCATTCTTATGCTTCCTGTTGCCACCTTCCCTGTAATGTGTTTCTCTTTCTCTCTCTCTCTCCCCAACCCCTTCCTCTCCCTCTACTTATGCCTTGCTCCTATGTATTCAACAATCCCCTTGGTTGTCCCTATCTATTCCTCTCATTTGTTTTTTGTAAATATAAATAGTTCTAGCAAGAGATTAAACCATGGTCAGATATATAAATATAAAGGCCTATATTCATCAATATTGTAGAAGGCTCACTGCATTCAAATAACTCTTGGGGAGGGGGACCCAAAGAGCTCTTTTGGGTAAGCGAATAACAGAGGAAGGAGCATTTTCCTTTTAGGTACAAAAGAAAAAGATCATTTAAAGTTGTATTGCAATATAGATGTCTGTAGACCAGGAAACATCTGTAACCAGTCTACACGTCTGCTTTACCCTCCTGATGTTTGGCAGGTTTAATTGCTGTTTACATTAAATACATTTTTAAAGATAGGCTGATGTGTTACCCATCTGCCTATGGTGACTTTCTTTAACTAGCCTGTCTTCGTGTGTACACAGGTGGGAGTCTTTAGTCCTTGTGCTGATGTATCTTATCTACATTGTCATCATGAAGTAAGTAAAATACCTTCTTAGTTTCTTTTCAAAAACTTTCCTACATTCAACATTACATGATAATGTGCAAAGGGGAACAGGGGAGAGGGCAGATATCTGGCTGGCTTTCAATACACATTGTCACAAACTCATTTGGCTTCCTTAGCAACCGGCTATGAATCATTGCAGCTTTGATTAGTAGCAACAGCAAAGACCCTTCAAACCCATATCTGATTGCAGAATCAAAACTTAGGTTTAATTTGAGGAATCACTCAAGAGAAAGTTCTCTTTAAGACCTGGCAACCTGGCTTTCGGATCTTTCTGCACTCTTATAACGAGAAAGGAAGTAAAACTTAATTACTTATGCTTCTATATAGGATGAGAGAAGGGGCCAGAGCTAATTAAAAGATGACTAAAACCATGGATCAAATAATTGTGGACTTCTATTATCTATATGGTCACTTTGTGCCATGTAACAAAGGACCCCAAAACTTAGTGATTTAAAACCATAATCATGTATTATCTTACAGTGTCTGAGAATTATGTATCCAGAACAGTTTAACCAGAGGGTTCTAGCTCAGGTTTTTTAATGAGATTGCAGGTGAGAGGTTGGCCAGGGGGATGTCATCTACTTGACCAGGGCTCCAAGATGATCCACTTGCACGATTGGTGAGTTGATATTGGCTGTTGGCTGCAGGCCTCAGTTCCTAACCACATGGGCCTCTCCTTAAGGCTACTAAAGTGTCCCAGACACAGGAGCTTCCAGAGACAGTGAGAAGAACCCTACAATGCCTTTTATAATCTAGTTTCACAGGTCACACAGCATCACTTTTGTCATACACTGTTTATTACAAGCAAGTCACTAAATCCAATCCACATTCAAGGGGTCTGCTTTGCCTTTTGAAGGGAGGGCTGTGAGAGAACTTGTGGATATATTTTAAACCCACTACATTATATGTCTTTTTTCCCCTTGGAGTCTGGGTAACTTGCTATTTGTATCAAGAATTATAGTGCAGATGCTTCTCATACTCAAAGATAAAATGTAAGCACCAAGGTTGTGAACCTGCTGGCTCATCTTTTTGCCAAGTACCATTGAGATGAGGAGCTTATAAATAGTGCAGTGACTTTCTGTGCTGCAGATGCCCGCCCCCGTGGGGCTGTTTCTTTTTCTCTAAACTGGCCTGTACGTTCACCAGCAAGTGTGACCACAGGTGTGACTATCTTCTCAGGGGGCAAGAAAGTAGAACACTTTCAGAAATTGCCAGCTTGGACATATTGGATAGCAGTCTGAAACGGATGTGTCAAGTTTTTCTTGCTGTGAGGACTGACAATAATCAATTCTGGCCATTCCTGGCTGAGAGCCATGTTCAGAGAAGTCAGTGTGGCTGCTGGCAAAGGTCACATGAACAGTGAAGGTAGTACCTGGCTTGGCTGATGTCTAGGGAGGTCTGCCACCAATCCACTCACTATGGTGTCCAGGCCTCACCTCAGGAGCTGCCAATGGTCAGTGTGGACCCAACACCTGGGTCTTATTACTCGAAGAGGGCACTTCTAAAATGTCCTGGTGTAGAGTTACCATGAGATAACTAACCAAGAAATGAAGTGCTCTTACCATTAATCATCTTTCATTTATAAATACCAATGGATGGGCTCCCACAAAAAACAGAGTTGGCCCAAAGGTGTTCCAACATATCTAGGTCCCAATGGAAAAACCTTTAAAGACAAGAGCAGTCGTGTTCTCCCCATTCTCCCAAATAACAAAACTATTAGGAAATCAGTGCCACAGTAGGGAGACCTCAAAAATATATATGTTCCTCGGGTGTTTTTTTATTTGATTATTTAACTTTCTTTAAAACTTTCTGAGGCTCTAAGTTTAAATTCCCAGAGTCAAGAGTCCCTTTCTTCCCTTTTGAAAAAGTATATTGGTCGATAATTCCAAAGAACTGACTGAGTGTCTTCTATATGCCCAGCATTGATCTAGGCTTTTGAATCTGAATTTAGATAAAAGCATGTCCCATACTGAATTCACTAGAGGGTCCACAGAATAAGGAGGTCTTCAAAACCAAAGCTAATCTAACGGGAAGGTGGGTTAAAGGACTTTGCTGAAGGAGGTAGTACACCTTCTGTGACCACTGCACCCCTCTACCAAGCCATCATATAGCCTGTGAGTTGCTGACAGTGCATGTAGACATTAAGAGAACACAGTGAACAATTTCTCTCCTCTCTTCCAAACCATATCCGGTGTGAAAGCTAATGAGGTGTGTTTCTGCTGATGCATCAGCTTTACCAACCTTCCAGCTGTTCAAACCAGCAGGATACAAATAAAACAGCAATGGCAGCTACTGTGATCATGGAATTTTCTACATAAATTCTGGTCCTAAGTTCTAAATTGAAATCTCTCTCTTTAGTCATCTCCCCACCCTGCAATCAGAGGCTTTAATCATTGGGTTTTATAGAATCTGATTTGTAAAATTGCATGCTTCACAATAAAAGAGCTTTAGGGTGCAAGCACAAAATTTAAAATACTCAATTAAAAATATAAAACAGAGCAGCAGCAGTTAAAAACATAATATAGTAGAATTGTCAGCTGCCCCCTGGGTAGATGCTTTTAAACGACTTTAAACATTCTGTCAGGAGGTCAAAAAGCAATTCAGTTTGGCCAGAAACTTCATGGGAGCATGAGGGACACCTGGCCTTGGTTAGAACTGATTTCTGTGCATCTGGGTAACTTCTTTGGGATTTGGTTCCCAGGTGAGGTGATATGGTCTGATGGCTAAGATAAAGTGCTTCACACTAAGCCCTGGACACAGATCCCACTCTGCCACTTCCTAGCAGCAGGACGTTGGCCAAGTTATTCAGCCATTTTGAATCTGTTTCCTCTTCTACAAAATAGGGTTAATGATACTTCATATCTCAAAGGTTTTTGTAAGGATGGGATATGACAGCATAGTTATTAACTAATATCTAGTTTCAAGAAAGTTCTTGCAATACTATACATAGTATTATCCTATTATCCAAATCCAAATAAATGTATAACACACAGTTGTACTGTAAAACCAAACCTTCATGCAAGTCAGTATTTCTATGTGGAAAGTGGATTTGGGGTCCAGGCGACAGAAACACTGTGCCTCCCACATAGCTCTATCTGTAGGTCAAGGCATTCTTGTTGAGCCTAGAAAATGGGGAGGTCTTTTCATTTAGAAGAATATTGAATATATAAAAAAGTCAACAGAATAATGCAGCAATTTTCCACCAATGTGCCACAACAATTTTTAAAACATGCAACAACTGACTATTTAGTCAGGGGCACTGACCTATTTTTGCTTTGGACTGTCAAATTTAAAAATGACAACGGCCAATGCAACAGTATCTGTCCAGTGTGAATGAATCAAAACTATTCCAAGAAATGGGGTGCTCTTACCACTTTTTTTGTCAAATCGAGAAAAAGTATATTTTTTGGTGGGCCACAGAATTTCTTTATTTTTAGAGAGAGGGGAAGAAAAGGAGAAAGAGAGGGAGAAACATTGATGTGAGAGAGAAACATTGATCGGTTGTTTCTTGTATGTGCCCTCCCTGAATGGGAACCAAATCCACAACCTGGGCAGGTGCTCTGACCAGGAATCCAACCAGTGACCTTTCACTTTGCATGATAGCACCCAGCCAACTAAGACAAACCAGTCAGGGTGGTGTGCCACATAATGTTTGTAACTAGTTTATATGTGCCATGAGAGGGAAAAGGTTGAAAATCACTGAAATAGTGTGATGAATCCCAAGTGCTCATCACCAGTGCCAACCACCATCTACCCATGGTTGCTCCATCCACACCCCTATCCATTTCCTTCCTTCCATATGACTTGAAGCCCCATACATGAGGCCAATTCATCTATAAAAAATCTTTCTATGTCCCTAAAAGGACTCATTTTTAACATAAAATTATAATTATCACACCTAAAATTAATGCTCTTTTCAATATAATTGAATACCTAATCAGTGTTCAAATTTTCAGTCACTTCATAAACATTTTTTACAGGTTTATTGTAGTCTCATAAATGTCATAAATATTTTAAAAATCAAAATCTAAATAAATTTCACTCATTACAATTGGTAGTTCCCTGTTTTAGATCTGTTTTAATCTATAATTTCCCCCTCAATTTTTTTTCCTTTCAATTTATTCTTTAACAAAGTTGGATTATTTGCTCTACAGAGTTTTTCACAGTTTGGAAATTTTGATTACATCCCAGGGTGTGTAGTATGGCCTGTGTCCTTTGGCCTCTGTGTTTCCTATATGTCATCCATCTATCTGACTCAGGTTAGACTGTGTCCCAAGGGGTGATGAATGCTCCCATCAACAAGCACACTGATGTCTCCTATCTCTCTGTGATGTTGGCAGCCAATGATTCTCAAAATCTGGCTCCATTATTTCTTCAGAGTTGCACAATAGTACGTTCTAATTCCGTTTCCTTCCTCTTATAGACCTTGAGCATCACCCAGGATTTGCTGCTCATCTTTTTTTTCATGGCCACCACTATCACTTTTGACTGGTTTCACAGTGTGGGAAGAAACTCATGCTCCCAGGGAGTATAGAAGTGCCCATTGAAGAGAAGTCTAAGTCACAAGGGCTCTTCTGTCTGTACCATAATGACTGTCATGTCCCACAGGCCCACCCACCCAGAGCTGCACTGACTAAAGAACAGGCATAGGATACAATGGGTAGGGACTCCTGATAGCCTCTTGTCTGTAGCAGCAAAGAGGATGAGGAAGAGAAAGTTGTGTGGTGAGGCACAGCTTAAGTGGCCTGCCAGCTGGCAATTTAGAGTCGCCATGCCTGGCTGCCATTCCTGAGGAGGCCAGAGACCAAACTGGTGGGACAACTTAATGGGGTGTCCTACGACCTGTAAGTCACCAAAGCCTTTTTGTCTTTGACTGGGAGAAGCAGCAGTGGCCTATAAATGCCCTTGAAACCCTGCCCAGCCGTTTTCACCCTTGAGCTTTCCAGGATTCCACACTGGAAGTCTTCTAATTCTAGAGATGCAGAGACCAGAATATTTCACCTGCCAAAAACATCCTAGGAACTTGTACAAGCTTCTTCCCTTCCAAAACACTTCTAAGAAGCACTGCACAATGTTTTCACTCAATTGTTCCGGCAAATCATAGCCCAGAATTTTTTCATAAAGCCAAGAACCCATCAAACCTGAAATTACAGCATAACAGTAACACAGTTTCACAGGATTCCAAACTGTGGCCTCAGAAAACCAAAGACAGACAGAAACCTAGACTGCCAGCCAGCCTATAACACATGGACCATGACACATGGGGTAGCAGCATAGGTGAGGCACCTTCTCCTTTCCCAAGTGTGCCCCTGACAGCAAAAGCCCTGGAGATGTGGCCCAGAGAAGGTAGGCCTTCCCCGTCCCACTGAGTCTCATCACCTTCTTTCCATGCACAGACTCCAAGCAAGGGAGCTCCATCCCAGAGGTACCCCCAATGGCACTGAAAAGAAAGCAGTGTGTCACTATTTATGTATTGTTGGTTTTATTTTCATATACCATATATCCTTAAATTGGAAAATGGGACAGGTTGTATATTATGAGGGGAAATGGAATGACAGAATAATAACAATAATAACTTGAGGAGTGGGGTCTTCCACAATGCATTCAGATGTCAGTGACACTTGTTGGGAGTTGGAGAATGGAGGAAGAGCAAATGCTGATGGGCTTTCTTCACTTACTCCTTTGCTCAGATATAATGCTTGCATACATCAGTGCTTTGAAAGAAGGGCGAAAGGTGCTGGAAACATGGCCAATGGTTTGGCCAACAATGCTGAAATCGATGACAGCAGCAACTGTGACGCAACTGTGGTGCTACTCAAGAAAGGTAACCAAGGAGAGCCTGTATCCAGGAAGTAAGTGCTGGGAAGCCAGCCCAGCTGCCCTCACTCATGGCTGCAAAGGGGCGCCGCAGCTGGCCTGGAGAGGGTGCTGCCTCTCTAAGGCAGAGAAGATTCCGGTCCTCCCTCCCTCCCTTTGGCTACACCATGAGGCAGTCTCATACCTGGTGATGAGCCAACTCGGAAAGCCCTGTGCAAATTCTTGGGCAAAACATTTGCTGGGAGTGACACAGGGAAACTAGGGCAGGATGGTAAAGGAGAGAAGACTCTGGGCTTTGCAGCATTGATTCTGTCACATTCTGGCTGGGTAACCATGAAGCAAGTCACTTAACCACTCTAAGCCTCAATTTTATCTTCTGCAAAATGGAAATAGTTTTTGTAATGAGTAAAGGAGATAAAGTATGTAAAGTACTTTATTAATGATAGTAGTTATTAGTATATTATTATATCCAAATTCACTTCCAGGTTACATTGCCTCATTTTCCAAGTGGAACAATGGCATAGATAATTACCTATTTTTTTCAAAATAATTCTTATATTCAATATATCCTTGTTAAGCAGCTGATATACTTAGAGAAATAATATAGTACTCTCTAATAAACAATATTCTTTCTTAGAGGAACACAAAAATTATCATTTACTTTTGCCTAGAATATGTTTCATTTTTTATTTAATTTTTTTAACTTTCCCCTTAAAATACGTGTGCTTATTTCTTCTTGATCCCATATGGCTGCCCTGCAGGAAATGCAAAAAAGAAACTAGAAAATCTATAGGTCATTTTCAAATGTATGTCTGACTTTGAAATCTGTGGGTAATTATTAGAATTTTAAAATCAATTATTTGCTATACTTTCCTAATTATATGCATCTTTAATTAAAGGCTTAAGATTATTCAGTGCCATCCCACATAAGAATTTTATTTAGTTTTTCTCTTCTGGGTAGTTTATAACCATAAAAGGAATACTCTTAGGGAAGCAAAGAGAGCTACCTAATATTATTTAATATTTCCAGATATTATTTCATGATTTAATGGCTCGAAAACAGGAGTGAGCACAAAAAGGGCCTGTGGCCAGGTACCCATGAGCTATTTGCTCATATTGCACATTCATAGAGAGGGGGCTCGGGCCTTGGTGAAACTTTTTTCCAGCATGGCAATTCAGAACACAGGATTTGCCCAAAGCCCCCTCTGGGCCCTTGGCCTCCGTAATGTGACTTACGCACCCACATATCCCATTGTCAGCCCTACTCACAGGCTGGGCTGCAGCAATGTGCACCTTTATCCACCAAATCCTCCACTTAACACTAAAGTCAATTCTGTGGCTTTTAACCTCTCAGTATGAACATTGTTGATGTTTGCAGGACATATAAGGCTGCCAAAGATTATAAGCATCTTTCCTATGCCCCAGATCTGAGTTAAGGGGGAAAAATCTCTTAAAGACAAAGAGAAGTCTTGTTTGTTATCACTCGTTTTCTTTCTATGTTAGTGAATGATGCTTAAAATGTTTCATCATTTCTAAAGAACTATCGATGATAGTTCTGCTTTTGGATAGGGAGGAGGGAGGGAGGGAAGGAGAGAGGGAGGCAGGGAAGGAGGGAGGGAGGGAGGGAGGGAGGGAGGGAGGGATGACAGAAAGCCAGATAGAAGGAAAGAAAAGAGGGAAGAAGAAAAAGGAAGGAAAACAAGACTGATTGAATATCTGTTTCCTTGTCCTAGCCTCAATATTTTTATTTTGTATTTTTAATCTGTCTAGCCAATTTCCACCGCAAAGCATCAGTGATCATGGTGGATGAGCTGCTGTCTGCCTACCCACACCAGCTGTCTTTCTCTGAGGCTGGCCTTCGAATCATGATCACCAGCCACTTTCCCCCAAAGACCAGACTCTCCATGGCCAGTCGCATGTTGATCAATGAGGTATCTGGGAAAGCACAAACCATTTGCCACTGAACAAGGGTGGGAAACTAGGAAGGAGAGAAAGTTTCCTGGCCTGAGAGTTGAAGCACCTAACTCAGCGTTTAACACATTATCCCTCAGCCATTTCCCAATATCATTGCTCGCTGGGCCAGCTATGCATCCTGGTCCTTGCACCTCCCTCCATGTGTTGGCAGACATGGTCTAGCTCCCAGTTATACAGGAAAAACTCTCCTGTCCCCTTCTATGTACCTTTTTCTTTTCATCTCCCATTTGAATGGAGCCCTCGATGTGAACTTGCACAGAAATAGTTGCTTATCAAAGTTGCTTTAGTTTAAAATAGTGCTGAGTCTCTGACCTGAATTTTCCCAGATATTCCTTTCTCTGGAGTGGCAGCCTTATGAGTACCCTAGTCCAAACACATTTCTGTGGCTTGTTCATGTATGGACCAAGAGATTCCTAAAATGTGGAGAAAAAAAAGATAGCACCACAGTGCACAGAGAATCAAGAACCCTGATAGAAAACAAGTGTCCATCTGAGATGTGGGAATTTTCCTCTTAAGTGACCTACAAGTTCCAGTGGGTCATGAAAGATTAATCCCTCCTCCCAGAGGAAGGTTGTCCAAGTTGATTACTTTGATGAATCTCTTAAGACTTGACTGGAGAACATTCTGAAAGCATCTCCATGTCAGCTGCCTGGAAAAAAATCCCAACAGCTGGTGTTCTGGGTGTAAGGACGTACAGTCCCTCTGACCATGGTGAGAATGTGTCTTTCTCTTTCCAGAGACAAAGACTGATAAACAGCAGGGCTTACACCAATGGAGAATCTGAGGTGGCCATCAAAATCCCAATTAAACACACTGTGGAGAATGGGACAGGACCCAGCAGTGCCCCAGACAGGGGCGTGAATGGGACTCGGAGGGACGATGTCGTTGCTGAGGCTGGCAATGAGACGGAGAATGAGAATGAGGACAATGAGAACAATGAGAATGACGAGGAGGAAGATGAGGATGAGGAGGAAGATGAAGGACCTTACACGCCATTCGACCCCCCCTGTAAGAGGTCCTATGTCTGGGCTGGGGTTGGGGGCTATTTTAAGGCCACTGATTAGATGCCCTTAACTTTGATGATCTTTCTTCCATTCATTTCAAAGAAATATCTCTGTATGAACATAGAAATATTTATATTAACATCTGCAGTGAGCAAGACTGTTGTCGAGGGTCCAAAGATGATCAGGATGGCAACATATGTTCATCGGTTGCAATGTGGGCTCTTTGACCAAATTTATAATTTTGTGGAGGAAGGCTTTCTCTTGGTTGCTCTGTGTGGTCTTTTGGTGCTAAGAAGGAAATACACATGACCCACGTCAGCAAAGCAACTTGGATGCACAAGAAGAGACACTTCACCCACCTTCACGCATCCCATTAGAGCTGGCAAGGGATTGTCCTGCTAACGCCAGCCTTGGGGAACAAACATGTGCAGCCCTCCCAGTTGGCCTTTGTTTTTCTTCTCACTTCCTGCCCCTCAACCCTATTTAGGTCTCTCCTACCCCAGGACCTGCTGCTTCTAGGGCAGGCACCACAGGAGACTCACACCTGGGCAAAAAGCACTTTGGCCCAACTAAATCTCATACAGAGGGGCTGACTGAGGAAATCTCTCTGGTTCCTCAGAGGGGAGGAGCAAGGCCTGGAAGAGCTTTTAGAACCACCAGGGTAGTGTCCTTCTCCCCTGACTGCTACCTCCGGCAAAGACTTGGCCATTCCAGTGACCTTGTCTCCCCACCACCACAATCAGTGGACCAGGTGGCCCAAGCCCAAAGAATTCTGCCTACTTTCTAGACTTTCCAGATGCTCCTGATTGTTTCAGGAAAGAGAGTACTGGTCCCATTCACTTTCACTGTAAAGTGTGTAAGCCTTAATTAACATGTATAACTTCTCCAGGAAGTTTGAATTTATAGGAAGACTTTAAATTCTGAAGCATTGCTTGATTTACTTGAAAGGCCTTTTAATGCTGTGACATGAGTAGAGTATCAGAGTCATGTTTTATTTTCAGACACACGGTCCTTTTGTGCTCCTTTCTGTGTCCAGGAGACAGCAAGTAAAACTCAGACCAGAACTGCTCCTGGGCCCCCTCGGGGCTCCTGAGATCTCAGCCTGGTCAGGTTTTTACCAAAACTAACTAGAAAACATCACTCCAATTCCTACACTCCAAACCACCGAACTGCCCAGCCAGAGTTAAGTCATTATTTATTAGTAGGTAATCTTAATAGAAAAAACTTCCTGGATCTTTATCCATTTTACTACCTGTCACTGCATTTCTTGGCAATCTTCTTCCCTATCAACCACGACAGAAACATTTTAGGGATTAAAGAAGCAGAAACTCCACTCCTCTCTTCTAAACTCATGTTCATTACCAGATTACCACAGTTTTAGCAGCTTAAAAGGACACCTGTTCAACAGCCCCATGTTCTGTAGTCAGCAGTCTGGCATACCTGGCTGGATTTCCAGAGGGTCACAGACTGAAATGGAGGTGTGGGCAGGGCAGTAGTTCTTCTCAGAGGCCCTGGGAGATCCACTCCCACACACTCTCAGGTTGCTGGCAGGTGGCGGTTTCTGGGTTTGCACGGCTGAGAGCTGTTTCCTCTCTGGCTCTGGGCAGAGGGCTGCTCACTGCTCTTAGAGACCACCCACATTCCTTGTCGCATGGCCCTTCCACCTGCAAATGAACACAGTGTGTCGTGTCCTTGTCACCCTTCTAATCTCCCTGGTGGCCCCTTCTACTTGTGAGGACTCCTGTGATGGATCACTGATAGCTCCTGAATCAGGGCACAGAATCCTGGGGTCCCCACATCTAGAATTCTACCTCTCCCAGCCCTTGTTTCAGACTCCACCATCGGCAGCTCATAACCCAGCTCTAGAAACACTCCTTTTGCTGAAGTCATTCACTGACTAAGGAAGCAGTGGGGCCAGGTGCTGTGCTGCCCTCTCTGAAGCCCCAAGTATACCCTCCAGACAGACACCTGAAGACACATGTGTGAGACCAGACCTGTTGGCTCCCAAACGTGACCTTGTTACTTAGTGGGACAAAAGGCCCCCTTTGGATCACTTGTTCCATATTCCTCACCTGGATGAGATAAATGTCAGACCTAACTGTGAGTTTGTGAGGAATCTCCTCATCTCTGAAATTAGTGTAAGCTGAGAAGGCTCCAGGGCTTCCAGCCATGTTGTCTTCTTCCTTATATGATAGGAGACATGGCCGCAGGTATGAGCTCAGAAACCCTAACTCAAGCTGTCTGAGTCTTTCGGAAGCACAGACCCAAGAGGAGAAATGATGCTCTGCATGGTCCTGCCACCCATGGGGTCTCTGCTTCATCTCATGGCCCCAAGCTGCTGAGACAGGAAACAGAATCCCAAGTTCCTCTACACCAACCCTTCTCACATGGGCTTCCTTGGCAAAATGCAGTTCTAATTCAGGCAGTAGGGGTGGGGTCTAAAGGTCTCCATTTCTAATGAGCCCTCAGGTGATGCCAGTGCTGTTGGTCCATGGACCACACCTGGATGGTGAGGGGCTAGAGGCCTGGAGTCACTTCGGTGATCTTCATGATTCTTCTGAGACTTAGAGACCTAATTCCGACCCAGGTTCTCCCTTTGAAACAGAGAATGGGCCTGTTCCATTGTGACCCTCAGCGCTACTTCACCAGGCCTTTCCTCCCCCAGGTAGGGAGCAAACCACAGGGTGCCTCAGGCCAGCAGAGGGTGCCAAGGAGCCAAAGGGGCAGTCTGGGGAGCCCTGAGCAGGGGTCCTCTCCTGCTAAGTTCCTTTGGCCTGAAAAAGGTCCATGGACACAATGAGCCCCTCTTTCCCTCTCATGATCATCCTGCAAGGGGCTGGGCTCCTCTGTTCCTGCCACCCAACCATAGGGCTTTCTTCTCACCAGGACTTGACTGTAGTGGGTATAATCAGCGAATAAGTAATTATGTGGGAGTATATAAATATAGGAATATATATGACACATGTGGATATGTATGTATACATAAATATAGGTATATGTGCATATATATACTATGCACAAGTGTGATACCATGTATACATATAGCATGTTTGTATATGTACTGTATAAATTTAATATATTGAATATTAATATGCATATATGTATACATATTTAAATGTATATTATATAATATATACACATATACTAAAATAAATTGTGTTTGTTATATGTATAGATTAAATACATATATATTATAGACACATGTATAGTACATGTATATATATACATACATATACATTTTATATATATTTTTATCTCTTGTGTGAAGAAAACCTTACTGTTGACTGACAGAAACAGAAAAATTTACATGTATATGTAGATAAAGACACTTTCATTTTAAAAATGAAAAGAAATACACAAAAATGTAAGTATGTTTTTTGTGGGTAGAATTATTTTTTATTTTCTCTGTATTTTTTATTTCAAAACTATACATTTCAAATGCCTATATAATTAGAACATATATTTAACCCTAGGTATAAAATACTGAGCAATGCCTTTTTCTCTCTCCGACAGAATTAAGCTTCCTAAAAAGCTTAATAAGGATATAACTTGGGAATAAGTCTTCTGCTTTTTAAAGCCCACCATACTGAATGAGATGCTCAGACTCCCTGCTTCATGTCCCCTGCTTCATCTTCCATTTGCCGCTGACATTTGAGACTTTTGAAATTATGGAATACTCTGGCATATCAGATTCACGTGCAGGGAGTTTTGTTTTTCTTAAAATGCTGCTGTATCCATAGCATCTGGAGCAGTGCCTGGCACACAGGGACATGGTGGGGCATTCCATGACTGTTTATTAAATTAATGAGTAAACCTTTATCCAGGAGGGCTCTGCTTAGACCATATGGCAACGGAACAAAAAAATGGAAACATCCAGAAATGCTGTTGACTCAAATAGGAAAGCAAACAATTTTTACCCCTTCATTCAGAAAGGGAAATTTAGACTAGCTAAAATGTTAATGATCCTTGCCTGACCTCTCCTGCTCCTCCAAATCATTAGAAACACACATTTCTGCATCGTTTGGTTTATTCAAGGAGTAAATATATTTGTCATATTACATTTATAGGTATAGTCCGGATGATCCTCGCTGAATTTCTGCTGTAAGTTTGTCATCGTTACAATGGAATTACAACTCAAAGAAAGCATCTCTAGCATTTCAGATGACAGTGACAACTGTTTTCAAGATACAGTGTCCTCCCAGTGTGAAGTCAACATTTTTTCAGCTGAGAGACAAAACTCAAAACTAATTGCTGCTAATTTACACTGCTTGAAACATTACCTAATTAATATCATTTACTAAGTTCTTGCAGACATAAGTTCTGGCTTCATTTTTTTCTTTTTTTTATTTTCTGAAGAGTGACAAATAGCCAAATTGAAGTCACTTCTCCTTTCATTCACGTGCTTCTTTGTAACTTTGATTGGGTGTGCATCTTAAACTGAACCTAATCTTTCTCCCTCTCCCTACCTATGGGGGCATCTGGAAGACTGGTGGGCCAGTGAGGGGATGCCAAGACCCCCAAATGGATGTGATTATCACTGTATTGAAGGATTTAGGAACACGCAGAGTTCCAGGATGTCCTTGGGATCCAAGGATCTGACCATATTCTGGATTCTGCAGCATTTGAAAACCCCTCACAAAACAACTCTCAGGCAGTCTTCTTGCTTTGTAATCCAGCCAAACACAGCCTCAATGTTCTCATCATTTACTTTACCATCTCCAAATCTGAAACCTAACAAGATGCATAGCTACTAATAGAAAAAGACTTCTCCTTTCTTAATAATTTGTTCTCTTGGCTTTATTCTGCACCTGTAAATGAGATACGTTTAGACTGAAAAAAATGAGTAATTTTCTTTGGTCTGTGTGATTAGATAGTTCATAATAATGCTGTTACTGTTAATATTATTAATATGTGTTGAGTATATGATATATGCCCTACACTGTTCATGGCATTCAAAGTAGAGTGGTAAACAGACGACACAAAACACTCGTTCTTATAGAGTTTATATTCTAGTTTGGGGCAAATGAAAAGAAATAAGAAAACAAGTAAACCTGATAATTTCAGACAGAAACCATTTGCTATGAAATGAATAAATGCAGGTGATGGGAAAGAAAGAAGTGGGGCACTTGGGGGTCTTAATTAGATAGGGTGATCTTAGGGGTCAGGCAACTCTAGAGTTGGGAGGTGACCTATTAGGGCACATTCAGCCACATGAAGATCACATTAGAGGGAACTGCAAGTGCAAAGGCCCTGATGTAGAAAGAGGCTTGGAGTGTCTGAGAAGAGAAAGAAAACTGAGGCAGAGGTATAAGTAGGGACAGTAGTGGGAGCCAACTCATTTAGGGCCTTGTCAGCCATGATGGGGAGATATAGCTTTTCTCTGAGGGTAGTGGAAGCCAGTAGAAAGTTCTAAAACAGCTTGCTTTTTGAGATTCTCCTCTGGCTACTGGTGACAAGCAGATGAATGTGGGCAAGAGTAGGAGCAGCAAGTTCTGTTAGGAAGACAAGTCTTCAGCCAGGTCATGGATAGGGGATCTGACCCAGGGAGAAGCTGTGGTGATAGTGACCTGCAGAAGGACTGACAGTGCCCTGGGCAGGTTGCCAAGGTTAGTGTGAGAGGGATGAGAGAAGGGGGAGAGTCAAGAATGATTATGAGGATTTTTTTCTCCACCAACTTGCAAATTTACATTGTCCCAGCCCCATCCTAAAATCACATATAATTCTTTCAGCTACTCTGTGAGCTCAGTGTTGCTGTATCCACATTCTACAGATGAGCAAACTGACAGCAAGGCTTGAAGGATTTAAGTAACTGAGACACTTGACTCAGACAAAGCAGGCACTGGATCCAGCTCTGCCCGGTGAATAGGCCCCACTCTCCCCTCAGTGACCACTTTGCCTTGCCATCTGAGGGAGACCAGGGAGCTAAAAGTGAAGTTGTGCAACTTTACTCTGTAGTTTTAAGAAACTATTTGGAGACTGGCAAGAAATTTAGTGAAGTAAGTGCTGGATATTGGTATAAAATTATGAAATAAATTTTGTTAAATATTTCATGATTCACCATGCAAAATGTAATTTAAAAGCACCTTATCTGTTGTGGGAATATAAAATGGTACAATCATTTTAGAAAACTGTTTGGCTATTTCTTATAAAGTTAAGTAAACACCCACCCTATGACTCAGCAATTCTACTCCTGGGTCTTTGCCTAAGAGAAATGAAAACATGCCCCCAAAAGACTTCAGGTTCAAGTATGCTCACAGCCACTTTAGTTGTAATACCTGAAAACTAAACAACTCAAATTCCCTTCCACTGGAGAATGGATAAACAAACCGTGCTGTATTCACAGGATGGAATCTCCACAATTAGAAGAACGAATTACTAACACATGAATGAATCACACACACACACAACCACATGTTGAATAAAAGGAGGTAGATACAAAAACATACTATATGAGTTTATTTATTTGAAGTTGAATAACAGGAAAAATTAACCTATGGTGGTAGTTGGGGGGAGTATAACTAGTAAGAGGCACAGGGAACTTTCTGGAAGAGGAGATCGTGATTGAAGAAAGGAGTACATATGTGTATGCATAGTTCTTTCCAGAGGTGAGTTAGCACTTAAGCATGATGGTAATAAAGTCCAAAGGAGCACTAATGTCTTTTTAAAATCTAAAGCTACAAGGAACTCATGATCATATATTCACCAAAATAAACACGCATGGGTGTATCTCTGAATCATAGCACGCAGGCAGCACAGATATGGTAGGATCAGGTCATCACTGACAAATTCGTCATCTTGCCCATGGAAGCAGGTAGTTCGAGAAATATAACGCAACTATTAATTTACAAATTTATATCAATGTGGGGTACACTCAAAGCTGAGTTTGACAACCTTGAGAGCTTTCAAATCATCTTTCAAGATTTCAGCGCGATGATAGATGATGCTGAGAAATTCCACTAGATGGCGCTGTGACCACTGACGCCTTATACTCTGGAAAGCTATAGTGGCCTACCTGTGTGTGGGGAGAACAGACAACAGGGGCCTGCTGGTGATCTTCGTAGCAACTCTCTGTACCCCACACACTCCCTCCACTCCTTTCTGTCCTGAAAATATTCCTCATCCCTTCCCACCTGACGCCATTTGCCAAGCCATCTCCCCAGCCCTGCATTATTCAGAGGTGAATCAACCTTTCATATGGTGGCCTAACTAGCAGGTGGGCAACAGATTAGTTTTTTTATTCTGCTTGTTTTTGTACACCAGGTTTTGTTGATGGTGGAAAGCCATTTGAGTCTTTTGGGGAAAGAGCAACATAGTAAAGGCTTAGTCCACAGGCCATCAATTAGGATATAGATGTCTGAAGAAAGCAGTACAGCAGACTGGTGAAGCAGAGAAATGAAGCTGATTATTTATTTACTTATTTATTTGCCCATTTTATTTCCCCAGCTGGCAAACTGGAAACAGTGAAATGGGCTTTCACCTGGCCACTGAGTTTTGTCTTATACTTCACTGTACCCAACTGCAACAAGCCCCGCTGGGAGAAGTGGTTCATGGTGACATTTGCTTCCTCCACACTGTGGATTGCAGCCTTCTCCTACATGATGGTGTGGATGGTGAGTGCATCAAGGGTGCCACAGCAGCACTAGATCTCTGTAGAGAGAAAAATACGCTCAACCAGAGGAGAATATGGATTGGGGTTTCAGCCCAGTAACTATCAGTCAGCTATTGCAGCAATGAGCTGCATAACAAAACACCTTTAAACTCAGTGGTTTAGAAACACAAGCATTTGTCCTCTTGCTCACATGTCTGCAGGGTGACTGATTGGACTAATCTCGGCAGGCACTGACTGAGCAGCTCTGCTTCAAGCCACAGCATGGTCACATTTGATTCAGACAACAGGTGGGGTTCATGTCTACTCCATATGTTTGTCCATTTTCCTGGATCAATGGCTGCCTGCTGAATTGTCTTCTCATGGTGGATCATGGGAATGCACCAAGTCAAGTGGAAACACAAGGTGCCTCTTAGGGCCTTGACTGTGGCTTCCACCCACATTCCATCAGCCATACCCAACATCAATGGAGTGGGGAAAATATACTCTACCTGTTCCAGTGGAAAGGGCATCAGTGTTACCAGGCAAAGGGCATGGTAAAAAATGTGAGGAAATGGAGTGATAATTTCTCCTATCAGAATAACTTGCCCTAAGTCTCAGCTTCTTCAACCAGAAAATGAGCTCACTGGGCCAGAAGGGTCCCTTCTGAAGCTAAAGCAATGATTCAGGTATTGCCCTTGACTGTGGGGTCAGAAGAGCCTCTGCCTTTAGAGGTTCTTTTAGAAAATGCAGCCAAAAGATATGTGCTTTTAGGAAGTACAGGCATACATACATGTATTGCCTACATATATATGCCTATACTTTTAAACTGGGAAGCAAACCTAATTCATTAGAACTAGAATTGGGCATAGATTAAAAGCCATGACAAAATTATGCAAATCTAAATTAATCTTGCTTGGGTTAGACAGAAATGCAATATATAAGTTCTGGAGAACTAAACTCAAGAGATTTAAAAAAAAATAGTTTCCGAATTGCTCTTGCCTTCTTGGAATGCTGCCACCTTGTGAAGAGGCCAGGCTAGCCTCCCTGAGGAGGAGGGCACATGAGGAGAGAGGTCCAGCTGACAGCCAGCACCAACTGCCATACATGTGAGTGAAGCCATCTGAGATCCCTCTTCCCAGCTGACCCACTAGTGGACCAAGGCTAGACCAGCTAAGCCTAACCCAAATTGCTAATCTACAGAGTCCTAAGTAAATAAAAATGCTTATTGCTTTAGGCCCCCCAAAAAAGTTCTGAAAAGATTATTTTGGAGGTAACAAATTTGTAAAATTGACACAATTAAATCATAATTATATTTTGCTCTCAACATCACAGAAACAGGTCATTTTTTTTTCAACCCAAATCTTACAGCCACGGATTTTTCCCTCGTCCTGTATTCGTTAACATTTTTACTTGACAGTGCTGTCTCTCTTCCAGGTTTGAGGACTAGTGTTAGTGTCCCTGACCTCCAGGTGCTCAATGGTTTTCTCCCAAATCCACTAACATGCAAACTCACTGACCAATCTGAAGTTCACCTTCCTTCTGTTTGCCTCCTTCTGCTCTGGTGGAGGTTTAGTTCTAAGAAGTCCTGAGAAATAGCCAGGAATAGTGAGGAAACAAGGGAAGCAGGAGACCTGGCCCAGCCACCAGGGGAATCAGTTTCCCAAAACCCCAGACTTGACCACAATCATCATGATAACACCCGCAGGCAGCTGGGCAGAAACTGTGTTCCAGGCCAGGCCCCAAAGAACCAACCTGATTCCCACAAGAACCCAGCTGAGACTTGTTAGAAAGAAAAATGAAGTTTGGCCAGGATGCTTATAGCTACATTTCTCAAAAGCCTCCTCAGAAAAACAAACTGAAATGCTGTGTTTCTGCATTTCACTTTCCTCCCTGGAGAGAGGAAAGCAGAGATCCCAGGGCCACCCCAAGTTCAGTTCAGCACTGAATGGAAATGGAATGCATCCTCCAGTTTGAAAGGGAATGAGGCTGGCATCTCAACTGATCTAACTTCCCCCAAACCTTTGGACTGTGAAGGAGCAACTGTGATTTGGGGAGGAAGTCTGGGTGCCATGCATAAGTGTCCCTTTCAATCACTGGCAGGGAGGAACTGTGAGAATGTGCTACTTACAGCATGTGGTTGGCATTTCTTGTAACTTTATAGAAAGTGAGGTCAGATGACATGCTGAAATGACCAGTTCATCTCAGCTCTTGTAAGTTATCCTCTCCCGAGGTCAACATATAGGGAATTGTTCTCTTTCCCACTCCCCTCTCTTTTGCCACTGCCCGCCACCCCCATCATGATGTCCTACCAACTGCTTTCCTCTCAGTCTTACCATCTGGAATTAGGGGGCAAGAATGGAGTCATTTTCCTAATGGAAGCACTGGCTCAGGCTAAACTCCTCCTATGTAGGTAGAGCTACTGCCTGTGCAAATGAGCCTGCCTGCCCAGGTGGGAATGCCCCCTCTGCCACTCTCTCGCACATCTGCATTGGGTAATGCCTCAGTTTCCTTATCTGAAGAATGGAAATAATGATAGCACCTACTCCACAAAATTTTTGTGAAAATTAAATCAGTTAAACCCCATGAACATCACTTAACACAGTGGCTGAGTAATTAATCAGCATGACTGATATGGTGTTGAAGATGATGTTGACAAAGGTGATGTTAAGCAAGCTTCAAGGGAAGGAGGAAAGGAATCAGCTGTTTATGGCTTTTCCTACAAGACTGGATGGTGTGAATTCCCATCACATATCTTGGGACTTGGATGCTTAAATTCCCAACCCAGTGTGGCAGCCATGTATTATGGGTTTCCCAGGACCATCATGAGTTTACATATTCCATCCCAATATTGCCTTTTCCCAGAAACTCTTTTTTTCCTCTCTCTCAGGCCCCCTGCCCCACCTGAAAGGAACAGGTAAAAAAAAAAAAAAAAAAAAAGGCCAGTCTTTAACTAGAAAAGATGAGCTACATAAATGCACTATGGTCTCCTGACCTGCATCCCCAGTCTGCTCCATGAGACCTTCCCTTTCTGTCTTTATACAGAGAGCAGACGGTGCCCCTAGAGAAACCGACCAAATTGCAGCCTTTTCTGCTTCTTGGTCAGAGGGTTCACAGGCAGGTAGCCCTAGATCAGCCCTCAGCTCACCACCTATTCCTGCTTCTTCTAGGTCACGATCATTGGTTACACACTGGGGATTCCTGATGTCATCATGGGAATCACCTTCCTGGCAGCCGGAACCAGCGTGCCCGACTGCATGGCCAGCCTCATCGTGGCCAGACAAGGTGGGGCCTCCAATGGGATAGGGTAGGGGAAGGAAGTAAGGCCTCTCAACAAGGGTGTGGAAGAGAGAGTGTCCACATGGCAATTCCCAGGGCTTTGAATCCCAGCTGGGAAGGAGTGATGGGTGACTTCAGTGCCATGTTGGTTTGAAGGCTTCTTGATATCAGAAAAAAACAGAGAAACAAGCCAGAAGGCCCACTCTTGAGAAAGGCAGAGATGATTTCTAGATAATGCCTGACCTCCCCTTCTGGAGGCCATATTACCATTTTTCTATTATTAAAAATAGTAATAAATATAACAATAGCCAATCTTTGCGGAGCACTGCACCCTGAGCAAAGCAATTTAAGCACATTATCTTCTATAATTTAAATAATTCTATGAGTTAGGGACAATCATACACCCATTTTCTGGATAAAGAAACTGAGGCTTAAAGAAGACAGAGGTAACCTAGGGTTTACCCCATTCCAGTAATCCTCAAAGTGGCAGTTGCCAGAGGTCACTCTTCAGTGTGTGACAGTCCCTCCCTCCTTCAAGACCAAGCTCACAGTTTACTTTCCAGGATGAATGCCCCCTTGGTGGCTATGCCCTCCCCAGCACCTCTCTAACTGATATGCCTGATATATGCTAAAGGACCTTTGTTTTCAACAAAATATGAAACTATGGCACTGAGTATGGTGTCCTCTACAAGTCCTCACGAGAGTCTACTGGTTACATTATTTTTCTTAATATTGCTCAGTAGTTTAGAAGAACTGAATACAGTGTAGAGCAGGTGGGGGACAATACTGAAATGTATGGGTTGGTGAGATCATGAGCCACTTTATAAAACTGTTGAGTTTATTCCTTTCTCTAAGGATGTATCAGAATTTTTTTGGAATCATATTTTTTAATCACATTTAACCAGTGTGATTAAAGGTCATATTTGAAGTAAAGGTCAGCAGTTTGAAGAATATGTATTTTTCTGCTCTGTTGAAAATGCATATTCTATTCTAATGACTGCATTTTACAGTCAACATCATTCTGTAGTGGCCTGAGAAAGAAACAAATATGTGAGCTTTCAGACGTGCCAGCTAGGTCTCTGGCTGTCAGACCAAAGGCTTGGGAGAGTCCCATGTGGGGCCCCTGCACTCCCTTGGGCCCACTTCCCTCACTCAAGCGACCTCTTGTCATTATAGGAATGGGAGACATGGCCGTGTCCAACTCCATTGGGAGCAATGTGTTTGACATCCTCATTGGCCTCGGTCTCCCCTGGGTCCTGCAGACTCTGGCTGTGGATTATGGGTCCTACGTAAGTGTCCTTTTTCCATGGCTTCTCTTTAAATCCAGAGCTACGTGAACTCTGCTGTTAGCAGCATTGGCCACTGTGACTTTGTCTCAAGGAAAGGAGATATGGAAATACTGATGTTGAGGAGAAAACAAATTCCCCCCATCAAAGTCCTTCCAAAGTCAGGCTTGTGGGGACATTCAAGACTCAAGGGCAGGGTTGGAAAACTTTTTCTTTAAAGCAACAAAGAGTACATACTTTAGGCTTTGTGGGCCAGATGGTCTCTGTCACATCTACTCAGCTCTGCTGTTGTAGTCTAATCAGCCATGGGCAGTATGGAAGTAAATGAGTGTGGCTGTTTAAGTGCAACTTTATTAATAGAAATGGAAATGTGAATTTCATATAATTTCCACATGTCATGATATATTATGATTCTTTCATTTCTTTTCAACCATTTAAAAATGAAAAAAGTAGTCTTCATTCATGGTCTGTGCAAGTCCAGGTCATGAGCCCGATTTGGCCCAGGGGCCATAATTTGCCAAGCCCTGCTCAAGTGTGTTTATTTTGGTTGAAAATACTTTTTTTTTTTTTTTTTTTTTAATAAAGGAAGGAACACAAAATACAAGATTCCCTCTCTGCCAGGAATCTGGCAACTGTCATACCCTCCTGTGACGGCCTCCATGCTTTCTCTCAAGGTTAAGCTGAATGTAGTTTCAGGTGGATTTGCAAGTAGGTGACACAGGTGATCCAAGTAGGCTTCAATGCTCTGTCCCAATTTGCCAAAATGTTCTCCCTTTGCTACTGGAAACTTCTGCCCTAGACACTGTCCAAAGACTGGGAGAAATCTCTAATTGAGGAAGAACCTGCCATTAGAGATTTCTTCCTGTGTCTGGAAGAAAAAAGTATTGTGCCTCTAAAGTTTTTACACTCTGCCCAGTGCTCTAAATGGGTTGCCGAGCATGACTTTAGTCTGTCTGTACAATGTGTTTTAAGTAATTGTATATTCTGCAGAAAATATTGTAGCTCATTTTAACATATGACAGTTGTCTTCAAAGCTGCTTGATTAATGGCTGTTTAAACTAGAAAAGGTATATCCAGCTGGTTGCAATTGCTGGGGAGAATACACTTCTTTAGTCCTTACAGTTGGACTAGTGATAAAATAATATAATTGACACAAGACTAGATTAACAGGAGAAATATCAACTTAATATGTATGCGCAGGAGAATATGATGCTCAGATCATAAAATGAGGCTCAGAGAAATAATTGAACCAGGCACCTTTTTATACTTTTTAAACAAAGAAACAATGAATTTGAGAGAAACTGACAGAACAAAGAAAGCGCTCATTAGAAAGAAATCTAAGCAAGGACTAGGCTTGGGTAATAAATTAGTAAAGGCGGTACATTTGTTTATACAGGCTTTGGGCTCTGGATTCTTTTAACTCTTATGGTAAAATTATCTCTTAGCCCTCAGGAGCAGGGAGGGCACCTATCACATGGGAGATTTACCTCCTGACTTTACGGGAACACAGGGTTGGGCTTTTCTGCTTATACAGGCCAATTCTTAAGTAACTGTAGTTCAAAATAATCAATATTCCATTGTAGATTATCTTGAGGCACCATACCCTGAGCCCTGACACATGAAATTTAAATCCATACAGAAAGGCCACATGTTTTAAATTCATGAGAAGTTACCTGTTGGCTGAGAGTTTTCATCAGAGGCCATAGTTGATCTCTGTTGTCTCATTCTTTCCTCTAAGTGCTCTGTCTCTTCTAAATGCAATGTTGTGTCTCTCATTTCATTTCCTGATTCATCTGTATAGCCCATTTTCATTGGCACTCCAGATCAGCTCAGAGCACTGGGTATGGATCTATTGAGTTCATTAACAACCCACCTGGCTTATTCCTCTGTCTCTTTCACCTTCCAACTTACCTCTTATCAAAGGTATGAAGCAGTAAAATTCAGACCTATGGGAATTTCAACTACTTTTTGTCTTCCCTGGTATACAAAAAGAAGGCAGCAAAAATATAAGAAACTACATTCTAACCTGGAAAATCAATCTATGAATAATACATTTTTACCACATCAACTCTCTCCAGGGAAGGATGGACAGGTAGGAACAGGGAATGCAAATCTTTTCAATGTCCCTAAGATCTATTATGGTTTTTTTTTTCTTTGCTGGGATTACAGGGTACAATCATAGAAGGTGAAATTAAAAACTCCCAAAAACAAAACTCAGAACTCACCCTGGAAGTAAACCAGTTTCTCTAATCAGCTTTGAAAACTTCCTGACTGAACGAGGATATCAAGCCAGTAATTCTGACTCAACTAGGCACATTGTCTGAAAGAAATAATACCCAAATGGCCTGCCTTCCTTTTCTTCCCTCTGACATCCTCCCAACACTCTTCAGAGAATGGAAATTTAAACAAAATTCTCATATCAGTAACTCGCAAAGCCATGAAAACATGCCACTTCAGGTCTCAAACTCTAGTGACAGGATGACATCATGAAGACAAAAATCAGGCCCTATTAGATCTTTGACTTAAATTTATGTTTTTCACCTGAAGACAACATAATTGGGTCATGCTGGTCATTGTGCAGGAATTGTAAAAGGAGTATACCTAATCCTGTGGTTGAAGATAGCTTTTATTGTTGAAGGGAAGGGAAAATACAGAAGGAAAGGTGGCCATATCTGGTTTATAATCAAAGCAATGGCATATGGGAGAGTGCTCTTGGGAGAGACTTTTGGTTGGGAAGACTAGAAAAAGGTGTGTCGCATTGCATTATCATCCAAATGCTGCTATTTCTGTAACCAGTGCCAGAGAGATCTTAACTTTATTCCAGAGATGCAGACATCCAGTGGAGTCCTCTCTTTTGAAAGCAGAAATTCATTAATATAATCAAGCAGTTCATGAACACCAGGGAAATCAAGGAGATTCATTTTGTATATAGTGTGAAGTAGGGGGTCTAACTTTATTCTTTTGCATGTGGATATCCAGTTTTATTTATTGAAAAGATCTCATCTTGAACTTTAAAAATTCTAACAAAAATGTTCTAGTTAACTTGTTTTTCAGTAATATTCACAACTTAGGAATTGCTTCTTGCCCATTTCCTTTTTAGTTCTGATTAAAAACTAAAGTTTAGTTTTCCTGACAGTGAAGATAATCACTATTTTGGAATGCAGGATTCTAGAATACAGAACTTTAATTAAAATATAATCATTGTGATTCTGAGTCAGCAAGAGAAAGTTAGGAATGAAATATTCTCATCAAAAATAATTAAGGTGCTGGCATGGAAAGAGGTGGACTTCAATTATCTGGAAAACTTTATTTCTACAGACAACTTCTTTGCCTAGTAATGTTAGAGCAAACTAGTTGCCCAGTATTTGGCCCAACCAATATGTATCTTTTAGTTCTCCTAAAAGTCAGGTGTCCCAGAACATGGCCCTTGGAACAAGACCGCTTCACACAGGGGTAAAGGGGCTCCTACCAGGGGCTTTCATTGTCTCTCCAGCTCATTCTTCAAGTGTCAGCTTAGATGTCAACTGTATTCTCGCAAGCTTGGGTCAAGTGTCACTCCTTTGTTTTCAGCAGCTCCCATCAAAGCTTTCCTTTGTCTCTTTGTCTGAGTCTCCCCCACAGAGGCGATTTCCCTGAGAGCAGGAACTATGTCAGTTTTATGCATCATTTCCTTTGTGCCCAGCGCAGTGCCTGGAACTTAAAATCGCACAAACAAATATTTGCTGACTGGCTGACTGGCCACATGGCTGGCTGGATGGATAGATCAATCTTAAGTTTCCCATCAACATCACCTCAGCTGGGGAGGAAGGTGTGTGAGCACAGCAGAATGTAGGAATAAGCTGACCTGAGAAGAGAGCAGGGTACAAACAAAACAGCAATAAGAAGAGCTTAGCATTCACTGAGTACCTACTATGTGCCAGGCACTCTAGAGACACCATGCACACATGGTATCATCTAACCCTGACAGTAGCTAAATTGGGCAAGGCTTATCTCTTCAGTCGGTGGTTATAATGCACCTACTGTGTGCCAAGAACTTGGTGAGGCACTGGGAATACAGAACAAACAAGATAGACTAGACCTTCCCTTCTACAAGGTGCATAAGCTAAGGAAAACAGACAACCTATGAGTGACAAACACATAAGTGCACTAAATTTGGAGAACAAAATCCTATTGAGACCCATGAGATGGGTGATGTGATAGACAGCAGGGAGCACATATCACTCTAGATTCATTGGAAAAGGAGGTATAGGTTCTGTGTCAAGAGGTGGATGACAAAAAAAAGATTTGGGTGTGTGGAGGAGACTGCAGGTGCAAAGACACTGAGGTGGGCTGTATCTGAGAATAGAAGGAAGGCCAAGGTGGCACAAATACAGGGGTGATGTGGGCTGAGTAAAGTGGGCAGGGGTCACAGGTTGCACTCTACGTGCTATGCTGTTATAAATCCCCTTGTGCAGATCAGGAAGCCACAGCCTAGAAAAGTCAAACTACATAGTTAGAAAGAGGCAGAGAGAAGGCAGTGAGATTTGTTTCTCTCCCCAAACCCCAGAGACTAAAAGGAAATCATGCCACAATGGCCATTGTGCAAGAGGTCCATCACTGCAGCAGAGCCATCCCTGAGTTTGAATCTTTGCTAGAAGAAAGGACAGGGTGTATTTATTAAGGCTAAAGTGAGCTCTTCAACTTCATGTAAAGAAAGAAGTATCTGGAAGAGGAGAGGCCTCCTGATCCTGACTCCTGTTCTAAAAATCCCCACAGGCTCTGTAGCAGCTTAAAATCTGCACTGCTCTTGGCCATGGTATGTGGTAAGTCTACAATGGGTTTCTGCCTGAAGGTTGGAGGGACATTCTGGATTCTTCCATGAGGATTACCTGTTTATACAGCCCCTGGGTCCCTCCCTGGCTCTCATCAGGGCCTCCAATGCTAGCCACCCACGCCCAGCCACATCTGGGAGCATCATTGTATAACATCATGCCAAAATGCAGAGTTACTTGGAAAAATAGTAC